TTTATATTGGGACAGTGCTGAATCAGGTGATCTTTCTGGCCCGAAATTTATAAATCGGTGATAGCAAAATCAAAGTCATTTTTTCAGAGGTAAACCAATCAAATTGCAAGATCAAATGTGTATGTAAAAAATATTTTTGAACAATAGCTTACTGTGTTCTAACAAAAAATGTTCCTTGCAAATTTTACGTGTATAGTAATTTGTGCGATATAACCTTAACGTTGCGATTTGTGGGTCAGTTTTACTGAACCGAATTTCAATTTTCCTAATTTGAATTCTGAATTTTCATTACGTTGAATTAGGGTTAGTAGGATAAGCTAAGGTATTGAATGTTGCTTTCCCGACATGCAGTTTTCATTTAATATAATGCTTACACTCTAATAGGACAAAAGAAGGCATGCGAAGAAAGCTTGAAGAATCAATAGAATACAACTGATAAGAATTGTAACAAAAACCTTCACAAACTCGCAGAAAGTGCAGATTTGGCACTTAAAAAATGGATTAACTATGAAGGCAAGCTTTGAAAAATCAAACCGTTTTTTAATTAATAGTCTAAAACAGATCATCGAACTTGGTTTTTGGGTCGATCAAAAAATTTGCGCACCGATTGTAAATTTTATCCGAAACTGGCCGGAAAGATCACTTGATTTAGCACTGTTTAAATAAATCCAAAAGATGATGCGTAATTTTCTGCGTTTCACACTATTTGATTGGCAAAATATTTTAAGAGGGAAATCGGTTCAGGCAGATAAATCACATGATATGCAAAAATGTAGTAGTTATTTAAATAAAATATTAATTTTTTATTGTAAAGTATCTTCCTTTTATATTAACAAACGTTTGTTATCAAAGGTGGTTATATGTCATGAAATTTAACCGGAAAGAAAAAATCATTTCTGATTGGCCATACATGTACATAATAGATAATAAAACAAATTTGTTTTTGGTTTTTTGGTTGAAGGAGCGACGGATGGTGTTGAGGATGATAAAAGAATGAACAAAGGTGGAAAAAAGGGGGGAATAATGCGAGAAAAAGGAACAAATGAAAGAGCCTGCAAGAAAACAAGGGAACTAGATCAGAAAAACTTATATGAAGACCTTGCAACACGATATAATAATGATGAAAATATCATAGATGAATTAACAACTAGAAAATAATACCACCGATCAGACGGACCTTTCCATATACGAAAACAATTATCAAGTCTATAACTCTTCAATAAAT